CCTATTTTGTTTATTTTTCTTTTCTTTTTCTTATTTTGAAAGATTTTTGCTATAGGGCCTGTCTATGAGCTTGTTGGAAAGACAGAGGAAAAGTGAAAATCACCCCTCCCCCCCACACCCTATAACTATGCTTTCATCCCTTCTCCTTCATTTTCCTCTTGGGATTTTGGGCACACAGGCATATGCACTCGGTATGAGTTTCAAGCCTCCAGGTCTAGGACTTGAACCATGGTTGGCCACGTGAGAGTTCAGTGACGTAAATGTTACGCCATCTGCTGATCCCCAAAATTCTTTTTTGGGGGCCAGCAGGTGGCATGGTGGTTAAAGGCACTGGATTCTCACTGGCTGACCAGGGTTCAAGTCCTGAACCTGACGGCTTGCTTTCTCACTTCCTCTCTCTCTCTTTCTCTCTCTCCCCCGCCACCCCCCGTCTCTGTCTGGTCAAATAAAAAAATTATAATAACAAATGAAATTAAATAAATACATTTTAAAAAACTATTTAAAAAAATATTTTATTTGGGGCAGGTAGGTGGTGGCAGGGTGGTTTGGATGCTAGACTCCCACCTGATCAACTGTGGTTCAAATCCCAGACCTGATAGCTTGCTTTCTCACTTTCCTCTCTCTCTCTCTCTGTCTAGTGAGCACACATGTCCTATGGCAAAATTTAAAACTAATAGTAATAATAAATAAAGTTAGTAAATAATTATTTTAGAAACCAATAGATAGTGTAATGGTAACGTTGCTGAACTTCAACATAGCCCACAGTTTGAATCCCAGACCCAGCAGCCTAAAACTCATGCCAGGCATGTGTGCATGCATGCCCCAAATCCCAAAACAAGACTGGAGAAGAAGGGATTGCAGTGTAGCCATCCCTTCTGGAGAGTGACTGCCTGTAGCAAAAATCTGTCTAAAAATAATAATTATTATTTTTAGAAAATTAAGAAATGAGAGGGGCCGGCAGATGGCTTGGTAGTTAGGGACACTGGACTCCCATGTAGCCAACTGTGGTTTGAGACCTGGACCTGGTGGCTTGCTTTCTCTTTCCTTCTCTCTCTCTCACTCACTCTGTCCCTCTCTGGTCAAATTTAAATAAATAAATAAAACTATACTTTAAAAAGTTGAGAAATGTGGGATCAGCAGTTGGCATAATGGCTGCTATGTCGCTAGACTCCCACATAGTCGACCACGGTTTGAGTCCCAGACCCGGTGGCTTAAACTCACACCAGGTGTGTGTGCGCATGTGTGCCCGAGATCCCAAGAGGAGAATGGAGGAGAAGGGATTGCGTCATGGTCATCTTCCCTGGGGGGTGATTTCTCGCTTTCTGTCTGTGTCTCTCTGTCTTTCTGGCAAACACACATGCCCTATTACAAAAACCTCTCCAAAAAAAAAAATTAAGAAATTATCATTACAAATAAAAACAAACAATTCTTTATAATAATAATAAAAAATAAAATTTTAATAAAATAGTCAAGTTAAGACCTTTCGGACCCCCAAAAGACTGTCTGGCTCTATCCAGCTATCCAACTCCTGAAGCAAGTGTCTGTTCTCCTTTCTGGTTTATTCAAGGCCTAATTGAAAAGCTAACGCCCCACCATTTTTTAGGTTATTTATTTATTTATTTTTGAGAAATGTTTGCTATAGGGCAAGTGTGCTTGCTGGAAAGACAGAGAGACAAAGAGCAAGAAATTACTCCCCAAGGGAGATGGCCACTTAGTAATCCCCTCCTCCATTATTTTCTTGGGATCTTGGGCACACACATGTATGTGCCCAGCACGAGTTTCAAGCTACCAGGTCTGGCACTTAAACAAATCAGCCATATGGGAGTCCAGCACCTTAACCACTATGCCACCTGCTGACCTCACTCCCCACAGTTTTAATATAAAAACCCTTCTCTGCTTTCCCACTGCTGTTTGCTTTCACGTGAATGACAAACATTTTCTTTTTTTAAAAATTGTTTTATTTAACATTATTTATTTAATTTGACCAGAGAGGGACAGAGTAAGAGAGAGAGAGGGAAAAAGAGAAAGCAAGTCACCAGGTCCAGGACTTGAACCATGGTCAGTCATGTGGGAGTCCATTGCTCTCAACCACCACGTCACCTGCCAGTCCCATGGAATGACACACATTCTGACTAGCATTATAGTGACTTGATATAGCCACTAGAGCAGATAACCAGCTTTGTGAGCAGGAACAGAATGCTATGAAACTTTGTAGGTTTTATGCCTTTTTTTTTCCTTCTTTTTAATTTGCTAGAGGGTACATGAGCTCACTGTAGAGAGACAGAGAGAAAAAAGAGAAAAAGTGAGAAAGCACTCCCCTACCCTACCCGGGATTGTCACACTGTAATTCTCTCTCTTTCTCTCAGGATTTGGGGCTTGCATGTACACAGGCTTGGTGTGTTTCACAAGCCTCTGGGTCCAGGATTTGAACCATGAGGTTGGCCATGTGAAAGCCAGCGACCTTAACCACTACACCACTGGCTGGCCCTAGCTTTTATGTCTTTATGCCTTGACCATAGTAGGCATTGAAATTAAGACTGGGAAATTTGGATTTCTTTTTCTTTCTTTCTTTCCTTTTTTTCTTTGTAGAGGTCTTTGTGTAGGGTATGTGTGCTTGCTGAGGTGGAGAGAGAGGAAACAGAGAGACAGAGACAGTGAGAAAGAGAGAAATCACCTCCTGAGGGGGATGGTTATGCTGTAATCCCTTCTCCATTCTCCTCCTGGGATCTTGGGCACTCACACACACGGACCTAGTGTGAGTTTCAAGCCGCCTGGTCCAGGGCTGAAACCGTGGACAGCCATGTGGGAGTCCAGCGATGTAACTGCTATGCCATCTGCTGGCCCCAGGAAATTTGGACTTATATCAGATGGATTGAAACACCATTAGTCATAGAAAAGATTTGAAAAAGGAAGGAAAGAGGTTTATTTAATGGCGAGAAAATTTTTTTCTAACTCATTAGAAAATACCTAAAATACCTCAATTTGGAAGAAGGGGTTAATGAGAATGATACAGGGAGAGAAAAATTGGAGTATAAGAAGATAAGGGAAGGGCCCTAGGTGTCAAAGAGGTTAGCATCCTAAGGGTGATAAATGTTTAAAATTTGGTATGGAAGGGATCACCAGGTGGCACAGTGGTTAAGGTGCTGGACTCCCACATGGCTGACTGCGGTTTAAGTTCTGGACCTGACGGCTTGAAAATCACACAGGGGGGACCAGCAATTGGCGTAATGGCTATGTTGCTGGGTCCCATGTAGTCGCCCATGGTTCAAGTCCCGGACCTGGTGGCTTAAATTCATGCCGGACGTGTGTGTGCGTGCCCAAGATCCCAAGAAGAGAATGGAGGAGAAGGGATTGCGGTGTGGCCATCCCCTCTAGGGGGTGATTTCTCGCTTTCTGTCTCTCTGTCCTATACTGGTTAAAAGTGTTAGTAAACATATGTAACTGTTAAATGGAAGAGCCTAGAGAAAAAAACTACCTCTAATATGGAGGAAAAAAGAAATTTCAAGTAAGAACGCAAGACAAAAACGTTGTCATTCAGTTTTTCTGATGAACTCCCACAGTAATGTTACTTGTAATGTTATTGCTGATTATGGGCCTGCACTTGGTACCTCAGGGGATTGCTCTGGGCTGCCTTGTCACCCGGGTTTAGGCCATGCAATGTGGCAGCTTTACAGCTTTGTACAGCTAAGCAGTCCTGCCCTTAAAACACCTTTATCTAACATTTTTCTTCAATACAACTAGCCCTTAAGTTTAATTCCTCTCTACAAGCTAAATGATGTATAGCAATTTGGATGCATAAAAAATAATTAAAAAATAAATAAAAAAAGTAAACAAACAAAAAGTAGTTTAATTCAAGGGGCCAGCAGATGGCGTGGAAGTCAATACCCTTGGATTTCCACATGGCGGGCTCTGTGTGCAGTGCTGGACCCAGCAGCAATCATGCAAGCCCTGCAACTGGCCCATAATCCTGAGAGGAAAATGGAGGAGAAGGGATTGTGATGTGGCCATACTGGCTCCCCCATGATTTCTCACTTTTCCTCTCAGGCTAGTGCACGTGTACTATAGCAAAAAAGAAAAAAGAAAAGAAAAAAAAAAGAGAGAGAGCGAGGAAGAGAGAGAGAGAGAAAAAAAATTTTTGAGAGGTTTTTGCTATAGGGCAGTGCGCTCTCCAGAAAGACAGAGACAGAAAGACAGAAATCAGCCCCCCCAGGGGAACGGCCACACCACAATTCCTTCTCTCATTCTCCCCTCGGGATCTTGGGCACGCACACACACCTGCCCTGCATCTACCAGATCCCGGAGTCGAGTTGCAGTCGACCACATGGAAGTCCAGTGACATAGCCAATATGCCAACTGCTGGTCTCTCCAGAGAAAGAAATTTAATTTAGATTAGTTTTTCCCTTCATCTAAGTCCAAAATAAACTTTCTCACGTGTCAGTAATTTAACCTTCCTGAAATACTTGTCTTTAACAGAAGTCGGAGGCTAACCTCAAGATCTTCACGAAAAACACCAGCTGGGAGGAAATAAACTCCCAACATTAGCCTTATCTTTAAATGTCTCTTCTTGTTCTCTATTGTGGCTTGCAGAGACCTTGCGGCAACAATTGGTTAGAGCTGCAGTCAGGATTAAAATTGCTACCCAAAGCAAAGAAAGGATGTCCTTGACATCCTGCTTTCTGGGAAAAGATTACTAGCACAGTGATTGGAATGGCAAGTGAAGACAAATTGCTCTGCATGGCTTCAGCTGTGGTTCAAAGAACTGCAGTTGACCGTAATCACACCATGCACTTCTTTTTTTTTTTTTTTTTTTCAGCACTTCTTTCTGGAGTTTGCAAGATAATCACATTGCACCTAGGAGCTATTATCTGCAGAACTGAAGTCGAAGGGGAGGAAAACACAGTGAACTAGGCTGTTACAGACTCTCGAACTCGACATGGTTACTTTAATGGCCAGATGAAAGAGAGCCCAGAACTCCACTCTGGGACCTGCCGAGGGTGCAACGGTGATGTACGTATTTATTTTCGCCGAGCCTAGGGCGCCAGCAGCTGGCGGGAGTCCGCGGTGACGTCACGAGTCCGGGCGCGGGTCACGTGGCCCGAGCCGCCCCGCCCCCCGCCTTCCTCCAGCCGCAGCCACAGTCGCCGGCGAAGCGCAGGGCCCCGCCGCGGCAGCAGCTCGCAGCTCTCGGCAGGTCGCGGAGCTAGGCGGCCGTGCGCGCGAGGACAAGCGGGCTAGGAGCCGGAGAGGCCCAGGAGCCGGCAGCAGCGGCGCGGCAGGCCCGGAGCTACGCGGCCGAGGTTTTCTCAAACTTGGGCGCGCACTCGCGCCACTGCCTCCGCGGCCGGAGCGATGAAGATGGTCGCGCCTTGGACGCGGTTCTATTCCAACAGCTGCTGCCTGTGCTGCCATGTCCGGACGGGCACTATCCTGATCGGCGTCTGGAACCTGGTGAGTGCGGAGACGCGGCGGGGACACACTTCCCGGGGCTGGGCGCCGGGGGAGGGGCAATACTAGGGCCCAGAGCACCCTCACCCCGGCTCCACACCCCACACCTGGGACCCCGGCCCCTGGTCCGCACTCGCGCTAGGGTTTTCACGCTCCGGAGTTGGATGCTGGTTCACACTCGCGGTTGCGTGACGCTGGAGCTCATCCGCCTAAAGTTGTATTATTAGAAACTTAATTCCCTGGGTGAGCCTGTGAGCGGTACCCCGCCTCCCCCCGGCTCTGCCAACCTGTGGCGGCGGGGGGGCGGCGACGGCTCCTGGGACCCCTGAAGGCGGGGAGTTCGGGGCATGGGTGGGGTGGTGGGGATCAGCCGGGGGAGCGGGGAGAAGGGGCGCGCCGACAGCGCCGGGTGGTGCGGGGAGCTCCCCGGTGTCGGTGAAAGTGCGTTCGGTGGGCAAAGAACTCCGATCCGCTCAGCACGTGCTGCTTTTCCTTGTTTTCCCAAATCCGTTGGGCTTGGCGTTTTGAGGGGTGCCGACAGCCGTCGCGGAGGTGACGGGGCACATTTTGCTGTCTCTTTGATTAGGGTTGCAGCTTTCTCGTGCCCATCTCCCAGCCCGCATCTCTCCTCGGGCTCGCCGTGCGTTTTCTGCGCACGTTCGGATCCCGAGTTGAAGTGGTTGGGGTTCTCTTCGCTCTCTCGTGACGGAGTATCCCGCACGTATGGTGGTTTTAAAGCGCTCTCTCTAGGTAGAGATTTGCCTTGATTTACTGCGTCTCAGTTTGCCCGGAGAAGCCATTTTCCACTTATTTTTTTTATCCATTGGCCAGTGATATCTGTACTTTTTCTTAGCAATGTAACAGGCAAATCTGATTTAATTTTCTTAGGTTGGAGCTTTTTTTTTTTCTTTTAGTTCTTTTTTTTTTTGGAGAGATTTTCACTGTAGGGCGCGTGCGCTGCCAGACGCGCTCGCCAGACAGACAGAGAGAGACATAGAGACAGAAAGCGAGAAATCACCCCCCCAGGGGGGATGGTCACGCCGCAATCCCTTCTCCATTCTCCTCTCGGGATCTTGGGCACGCACGCACACGCGCCCGTTAGGTTGGAGCTTTGAGGATCTTTGTCAGGGGAGTGAGGAAGCCTGATGGAGACTTGTCTTGCCTGTACCTGCCCTAGGCTGGTTGTCGGGCACCCCAGGCTGCACCCGGTTTTCTGAAATAATGTTGGAGAGTTAGACCACTCTTTACAGCGAATAGCTCTTTATCACGAGGAAATCCTAAAGAAATGGTAGTCAAATAGCGCTTAGAAATTTTGAGTGAGAATACATTCTTACCTCTCTAATCCCGAGTCCAGAGTTTTTTGTTGACTCTCTTTGATACTTCATAATTTTTTGATAGAATATGGACGTTATATTCATTGTGAACTCTTTCCTTGTGCATTTTTAAGCAAAACATTTTCCACCAAGTTATATGTATATGGTATTCATTGTGTGCTATTTATAGCTTTAAGTTTCCTTTAGGCAGTGTGTATCTCAGCCACACAATAGACATTTTTGGCCTTAAAGCCTTTCCAAACATCTTTGGTACTGTGTGGGTTCTTACTGTGCTGGATGAATGCAGATAGAACAGGGTCTTGGCTTGGCTCAACACTGACTTTGCTAAAAGCCTAGGAATTCTTCACAGAAATTGAAAATCACAGCAAGAGGATACTATTAAGAGGTTCAAAATTTGCTTTTATTGATGATTTAGACAGAGCATTTAATACAAATGTATTGTGGCCTCCTTGAAAATATTCAAACCTGCAGACTCCCGAGTCCATCAGTGAATGTGATTTGTAAAATCTAGGACGCTGCATTAGGCAAATGTACTCCATGATCTACTGGAAAGATAAATCTACTTGAGCTGGTTGTTGGCTGGAGTCCAACCAGACGGTATTGGTGTGATAATAGGAGAGGGCTCCATGCTTTGTCTGCTGTTGGAGCACTCGCTCAGTGCAAAGTATTAATAGTTACTGGCTTACACTCCTTAGCACTTGGAAATACATGGCCCTGTGAAAGGTAATTAGGAAACACTAGCAGATATGAATAAGAATGCCACTTTACTTAAACTCACTATATGGGAAACCTGGCTCAAGTACTGGTAATCATTATAAAAAGTCTTTTGCATGTTACAAAGCAGAAGCTTTCTCTCTCTCTCTTTTTTTTTTTTTTTTTTTTGGAGAGATTTTTGCTATAGGGCGCATGGTCTCCCTAAAGAGACCGAGAGAAACAGACAGAAAGCCAGAAATCAACCCCCCTGAGGGGGGGATGGCCACTCTGCAATCCCTTCTCCTCCATTCTCCTCTCGGGATCTTGGGCATGCACACACAGGTGCCTGGTGTGAATTTATGCCACCTGGTATGGGACTCGAACCGCGGTCGACTACATGGGAGTCCAGCGATGTAGCCATTATGTCAGCTGCTGATCCCTCATTCATTTATATTAATTAACCCAGAGAGAGACACAGAGAGAGGAAAAGTGAGAAAGCAAGCCACCATGTACAGACTTGAACTGTGTGTGGCTATGTGGGAGTCCAGTGCCTTAACCACCACACCACCTGCTGGTTCCCTCATTCTTATTTTTTAAAGTCTTATTTATTTGGGCACAGAGAAGTTAATACTCTAAATCTCCAGCCCCCACTGGGGGATGGACATGGTCTTTTCTGGGGGAATTCTGGAAGGAGAGGTCTCAAGGTGAGGATTGGGCTCAGATCCCGCCCTACACAGCCTCACAGGGAGGGATCAGAGAAGCAGGAAGACTAATCTATTCATGGTACTAATCTGTTCAAACTACTAATCCACCCAAGGTTTTCAGATTACCGGGTAGCTCCAGGGAGGGGCAGTAAATTTACTGGAGGGCAGAAGCCCAAAACAGCTCTCAGCCTTGAGTTATTCATGAATTCAGGGTCTCTCCATATCAACAGCGAGGTTTAAAGACAATAGGAGTGTTAATCACTCTGTTTACTCTTAGGCAAAAGAGGAGAGGGTAAATTTTTTTTTGGAAAGGTTTTTGCTAAAGGGCCCATGGGCTCACTTGAAAGACTGACAGAAAAAAAGCAAGAAATCACCCGCCACACACAGGGGAATGGCCAGACTGCAATCCCTTCTCCATTTTCGGGATCTTGGGCACGCACACAAACGCACCTGGCATGAGTTTAGGGTAGGGCTACTGGGTCTGGGACTCGAGCCATGGTCGGCTACATGGGAGTCCAGCGACATAGTCATTACGCCAAATGCTGGTACCGAGAAGACAAGTTTCTCGGCATAAGAATTAAACAGTTTATAATGGAGGCGCTCCTCCAAGATGGAGTCTTGCCTACTTCATTCCCCACTTCTCTTTTACGGGGATCAAGCCATTGATTCCTCAGTATCAGCTATAGGGGTGATAGTCTACTTTGGCAGGTAAGAAGTTTCACCGTATTGAAAGTCCAGTTTGAACTGCCTTGGGCTCATTTCATGGTCTCCAGTTTATGGGCACCGTTGCTCAGGAGGCAGAGTCTGGTCAGACTGGCCTGGGCCAATATTCATGGTATGCCGCCCTTAGCTTCTGCCCCTCACAGGGGGGCTGTGATAACAGCACTCCCAGAGACAATGCAAGCAGTTTGTGGAAGCAGAACAGCATTTGGCTAGGTACTTACGGAAATAACAAAATTCTCACAAAACTGAAACCAGATTATTTACCCTTTTTTGAGTCTTCTCCAATGTCTGTTAAGGAGAGTCACCCTGGCAGTGCAGTGCCTGGTATATTTGGGCTCTAGGTCCAGAGGTAACTAGCATTTAATATTTAATGGCTTTTATTCTGTAGGAGATGGGTCAGGTAAGAAAATTGAGTAAACTAGAGCTGAAAGTCAAAATAATTAGAAGCACGGTTAATAGAGGTGTTTTTATTATTTTTAAACTTGACCAGAGAGAGAGAAAGAAAGGGAAAGCGAGAAAGTAAGCCACCAAATCGACAATTGAATCATGGTTAGCCATGTGGGAGTCCAGCCCTTTAGCCAGCATGCCACCTGCTGGTCTCTTATTATTTTTTAATTAGACCAAAGAGAAAGTGAGAAAGCAAGCCACCAGGTCTGGGACTGAAACTGCCCTGTGATAATCCAGCGCCTTAACCACCATGCCAACCACATGCTGTAGGGCACATGTGCTCTTCAGAGAGAGAGATTTTGGGCATGCATGCTCATGTGCCTAGCATGAGTTTCAAGCCCCTGGGTCTAGGACTTGAGCCCCGTCGGCCATGTGAGAGTCCAGCACCTTAGCCACTATGCCTCCTGCTGGCCCCAGCTCTTAATAATTAAAAAAAAAATTGTATGTTGTGGTTTTGCCTGTAAATAATGAAGATTTCTTTAATAAAACATACAGGTACTTAGAAGTCATCTGCCTTTTTTTTAAATGATTGTTTTGTTTAACTTTATTTATTTTTATAATTTGACCAGACAGGGACAGAGTGAGAAAGGGTGGGGGTGGAGGTGGGGAAGTGAGAAAGCAAGCCTCCAGGTCCGGGACTGGAACTGTGATTGGCCATGTGGGAGTCCAGTGCCCTTAACTACCACGCCTCCTGCTGGCCCTATGGACATGTATTTATTTTGCCTGAGCAGATACCTAAGAGAGGAATTGTTGGTCATTGAGTAGATATGTAGTGAGCTTTTCTTTATTATTTATTATTTTTTTATTTAACTTTATTTAAATTTGACCAGAGAGGGACAGAGTGAGAGATAGAAACTAAGAAAGTAAACCACCAGGGCTGGGACTCAAACCGTGCTTGCCATGTGGGAGTCCAGTGTCCTTAACTACCATGCCACCTGTTGGCCCCACAGGTATAGTGAGCTTTATAAGAGACTGCTAACCAGTTTTCCAAAATGGTTGTAAATTTGTACTTTTACCAGCAATGTGTGAAATTGTTGCTCTCTGTTCTTTTGGTATTACAGTTTTATATGCCCCTTTGTCAAGCGCTGCTTTTTGCCTATTT